AACTGTTCGGTAACACTAGATGAGTGTGGTGTAACTGAACACGCAGCACACACCCTGACCCCAGATCAGCACACGTATGACCTCTGACCCTATGATAACATACATGATGACGACGCATCCACTGGAACACACACTGTCGCTTCCTCTCTCTCTTGAAAGGAGTAGTTCAACCAGAAATTAATTTATTCAACAAAAAACAAACACAAAAGGAGATTCAGAGCTTCAAAAAGGTGATTCATAAAATCACCATGAACAAATTATAACAGTCTTCATATGAATCGTGCACAATATTTCAGGACTAATGAAGTCATATGATGCTCTGTGTGATGAACAGAGCAGAAGTCACTGAACTAAAATCTGAATTTCAAGTTCAATGAATTCACATGATGCTGACGAAAGTGTGACGAAAAAAAACTAAGTCAGTGAACTAAATTCTGATTCATAAACAAAATCAATTAGTCAAGTTTGTGAACCTGATCATTTGGTTCGTTGAAAAGAACAATTCAGTCACTGATTCGGAATTCAATTCACTGATTCAATTATCCATTCAGAGCAAATATCAAGTCAGTAACCAGATTAACAGTGAATAATGACTTTAACACATAAATTTAGATCTATTCTTCATTCTGATTCATGACCAAATCATTCAGTCCAGTTCATGAACAACTGGTTCAATAAAAAAAAAAAAAAAGGTTCAAAAGAACAACTCAGTCACTGATTCGGTTATTGAATTCAACTCACTGACTCAATGATCCGTTCACATCAAAGTTAACAGTGAATAATGACTTTAACACATCATTTTGGGTCTATTCTTCATGCAAAGCATCTTCAGATGATTCTAGTGCATCAGTCATACGGACTGATGTTAATCATATTTTTATGATGCTTTCGTGAAGTTTTTGGAGCTTAGCACATGAAATATCATTGCATCATTCAGAAAAACTCTCCTTTTTGTGTTCTATGAAAGAAAGAAATGGACATGAGGATGAATACACGATCACAAAAGCTTAATTTCAGGCCGAATTATTATTTTAAACGACTCTACGTGTTTCTCATGCTGTACTTGAGCTCCTGAAGGTTAATTGAGTTTGCAGGAGCACGACTGATCTGAGTTCAGCTCTGTGGAGTCTTTATTCTCACACACACACACACACACACACACACAACAGCAGGAGGAGATTCATGTCGCATTCACCTATGGCTGGAACGAAAGCTTCACATCACATACTAAATAAAAACTCTGAGAGCTTAATAAAAGCCATATGATGAACATAAGGAACGTATGTCATTTCCATACTTAGGTGAGTGCGGTTTACAGTAATTAGTGTCATTAACAAACAAACACAGACGCTCGACAGCGAGACGAGCTCAGCTAATGACTCACAGGGTAATTAGGGTCAAACAGAGCTTTAAATATAATACATGCTGTTGATTCTCCTGATGATTCACTCGCCCCCATGTCATCCAAGATGTTCATGTCTTTCGGTCTTCAGTCGCAAAGAAATTAAGGTTTTTGAGGAAAGCATTCCAGGGTTTTTCTCCGCAGCTTCAAAGAGCTCTACAGGATCCCAGCCGAGGAATAAGGGTTTTATCTAGAGAAACCATCGCTTATTTTCTTAAAAAATAAACATTTATAGTAGGGCTGCACGATAAATCGCATGCGATATTTAACGCGTATCTTGTCAGAAAGCCGGTTCTGTAATCAGCGGTAAATCTCCATCACCTGCGGGCTTTCACATTGAGCAGCATTAACTACACAGAGCCGTTGTTCACTGACGAGTTGCGCAAAAAATCGCACGAATATGAACGTGGTTTTGCGCAGCTCGTCAGTGAACAACGGCTCTGTGTTGATGTTTTTCCAGTGAAAAAGTGCATCTGCTGTTGTCTCTCACATCAAAATCCAGCCACATATTTGTTTAGAGCTGTTTAAACGCTGCTTGATCTGTGCAGATTTCTCTCCTGATTCAGCCCAGAACACTTTTTCACTGGAGGAAGCGTTATTATGGATTATAGACTCTATGTATTTGAGTTAAAAACGTCTTAATGCTGGATTTGTTTCAGCTTTTGTCTTCTCCTGATGTTAACTGATGGACTGGAGTGCTGTGGATTACTTGTGGATTATTGTGATGTTTTTATCAGCTGTTTGGACTCTCATTCTGACGGCACCCATTCACTGCAGAGCATCCATTGCTGAGACACTGATGCAATGCTACATTCCTCCAAATCTGATGAAGAAACAAACTCATCCTAAACACTTGGATGATCTGAGGTGGAGCACATTTTCATTTTTGGCTGAACTGGGCGCTACTCTGGATAAATATGCCATGGATGATCTAAACATGACTAATGACTCTGTTCATCTAATCTGTCTGGATTCAAAATTAGTCCTAATGAACTGCTGTCTCAGCTCATCTGAAAGCACTAATTAATTAATCAGAGTTCATTTAGCCCAAAAGCAACAATTACACAGTGAAATATTTTTGAGGAAGTCTGCTCAATGCATAGATCTGCACACAGACGTTTAATAGTTACATTGCAGTCTCTATATGCAACTGTACTCCTAAAATGTTCTTATTGAGTTATTAGTTACACTGTATAAATAGTACATGACATGAACTAAAAGCTACAACAATCCACTTCTGATTTCATGGGGTGTTTGAGATGAACAAGAGGATTTTGCTCAGTCTGATCTCGTAGATTTTCAATATCGAGTCTGAAGGAGGTGTTACCCATCCCTCATTCATCACGCATTAGAGCACAATAACACCATCAGATGCCTCACAACCCATCCGCCGGTGCTTTAAACACAATGACTTGCATTTTTAATGGACACTGCTATTATTCTCCTACAGTGCTGTTTTCAGTCCATCTGCATTCAAGAGAAAGAAGTCAAACAAAACAGTCACAAGACAATACAAAACCCACTCTATTTACTTTCCTATTTCATGTTCCTGGTCTTACTGTGAGTGATTCATTGTTGACATTACGACTTCTTCATCAGAACTTGCTCTGTCGCTAAACGACTTTCCTTTTCTGTTGACATCATCAGTCCCTCAGCGCATGCTGCGAATTATAGGCACTAAACACAGCAATCAAGTGTGCGCAGAGTGATTGAGCTTTCTCCAATAGCAACCTCTGAATTCAATCACATGTCCAGCTTCAGTGTCTAATGCACTCGGGCCGGAGCGGATCGATGGGACGCACAGAAAACTTCACTTTCCCATCCTGCTTCTTCACTCGTTAGTTCACTGCATTGTGTGAAGCCCTCAACCGTGACGTATGACACTGTGATTAATATTTAATCAGAGGTTTCTGTTATGTAAGCAGAGTTTTTAGCATTCGCGTGGCACAACACTCTCACTGCCAATGATCATTAAAACAATAACCTGATTAACAGTTTCTAAATCTACCGATAGCCATATCAGCCGACCATTAACATATACATTTAGGTTAATTTGAGTAAAAACCAGCCTTGTTAGTCCACTAAAAACACTATCAGCTGAAAACAACATGACCACAGACTCAAAAACAATGATTGCAACTATTCATTTTACATTATCCATCAATTTATGTCATCGCATACTAGGCGTGATCTCCGTCTGTCCTTCGTTAAATCGGGCGTCCCTCGTCTCAGTCATTAGTCACTGATCTCCAGTGAATCTCCTGCGATTCATCACATTAATGACAAAACAGCATCACATCATGTTGCCGTAGTAACCAAGACACACACA